ACTAAATAGACAATAGATAAGTGGTAACTTTGCGAAGCATAAAACAGTACACAATACTGGGAAAGTCAGAACAACTTGACAAAGGCAAGGTCATGAAAGCTTCATAGACACATCCAAACTCTCTGAGGGACCAAATTACTGTGCTGAGGGCTGGGGACCATGGTCTCGGGGGACATCTAGCTCAACTGGCATAACATAGTGTATAAAGAAAAGGTTCTACATTCTACTTTGGTGAGTAGTGCCTGAGGTCTTAAAAGCTTGTGAGCGGCCATCATCTAAGGTACTCCACTGGTCCCACCCCATATGGAGCAAGTGAGAATGAGGAAAACCAAAGACACAAGAGAAATATTAGTCCAAAGAACTAATGGACCACAACTACCATAACCTCCACGAGACTGAGTCCAGCACAACTAGATGGTGCCCGGCTACCACCACTGACTGCTCTGACAGAGATCACAACAGAGAGTCCTGGACAAGCTAGAGAAAAATGCAGAACTCACAAAAAAAGACCAGACTTACTGGTCTGACAGAGACTGGAGAAACCCCAAGAATATGGCCCCCAGACACCGTTTTAGCTCAGTAATGAAGTCACTCCTAAGGTTCACCCTTACAGCCAAAGATTGGACAGGCCCATAAAACAAAATGAGACAAAATGGGCACACCAGCCCAGGGGCAAGGACAAACAGGCAGGAGGGGACAGGAAAGTTGGTAATGGGGAACCCAAGTTCAAGAAGGGGAGAGTGTTGACATATCATAGCGTTGGCAACTAATCTCACAAAACAATGTGTATTAACTGTGTAATGAGAAACTAATTTGTTCTGTAAAGCTTCATCTAAAGTACAAGAAAAAAATTTTTTTAAAGAAATTAACTTTTGTTGCATATGAAAAATTTTTTAAATTAGGTAGCTGCTAGATATTCATTCAGATACCGTTATTTTCTCTTTTCAGCACTAGACGTAATTATAAATCAGCTGAATAACTTAACGTAGAATTCAATAATAAAATAGAAACTATTTGTATTTAATTCAAAGTCCAAGTGACACACAAAAGCCCTGAGGGTCAAATATTAGCAATATCCACAAGGCAGCCAACGACAGCCCATAAGTATGTAGAGGTCACCAATCAAGATACGACTTCAAGATCAAGCAATATCAAGAATAGCCCTCCAATTTCAAATTCTCATAGAATCCAGACTTTCTGGAGCCATGGAGGCTGTATGAACCTGCAAAACTATTGCCCTGAGATAATCTTTAAACCATAAACCTTAAACCAAAAATATCCCTGGATGTCTTCTAAAACCAAACAATAGTTTAGCTTAACTAGTAAAGAATGTCTACCTGGAGCATTGTGCTCTTTTAAGATCTATCTATATCGAATCAAACTGACAACAGCAATTCAAAAGACAGGAAATTTGGGGGGCCGTGAGTTCATGTTAATGAAGGAGGAACAACTCAGAAAAGGCAGGTGAGAATGGTTGCACAACTCTAAGAATGTAATCAATATCACTGAATTGTACATGTAGAAACTGTTGAATTGGTGCATGTTCTGCTGTGTTTACTCTCAACAACAACAAAAACGAAATAAATTACAAAAAAAATAAATAAACAAGTCCTCCAGTCACAGTCATCTATTCACCACAGGTGTGTAGAACTTACCTTGTATACATTTTGTGTATCTTCTGTGAACTCAATGTCAATGTTGTTCATGCAATACCCAAGAAAACCCAATGAGAGAAATTCATAAGCTAAGAAAAGATTTGGATGATTGAGTTTTGGAGGGTCACAAACCATTACAATATCTAAGACTTTTTGCCCTCCGAGAACGAATTTTTGCCCCCATTGAAAATGCAAGCCCTAACCACTGTGCTTCCACATTTGCCCTCCTAGCACTTAAAAAGAAACAACAACAACAACAAAAAAAAAACAGTTTATCTAAGAAAACACCCCACCTCACAGCTGCTTTGAGAGCTCCCCTACCTCTTCTTCCCCTCAGGCACTTTGAAAGAAGTGATTCCCACATTATCAGCCCTTCTCCCACAGTGGAAGGACCCCCACTCCCTTAAAAAAAAAAAAAGCATTGACTTTTAGAGCTGGGAGAACACTTAGGGCTCATCCAGCCCCACAACCTCCTTTTTCAGATGAGGAAACTGAAAAAGCCCTCACAGGTTGAGACTTGCTCAATCAGTCACTAGTCACAGACAGGGATCTTGTCTGGCTGGTTCACTGGTGTGTCTGAAGGCTAGCACAGGGCTTGGCAGATGGAGACAGTCAGACGTTTGCATACATGAATGAATGACTATGGTGCAAGTCAGTGACAGAGCTGAAAGCCAAGTTCATCTAGTTCCCAGCCTAGTATTTTCCCACTACACCACTCTGTCCTCTTTTACTTCCCAACAATATCAAATAATAGTCACAAAGACTATCAAACTCTCAAGTATTTGAAAAGTTTCCCACCTGAAATAAGCAATATTAGTTTCATACACTGAGTAAAATTAAAGACCAGGATCTTGTTCACCCATGGATAGAGCTCTTCAGGCCATTTAGAGTTAGGGACTTTCTGTAAATAAGTCAAGGATACGCAATCTACCATGCACTACTTCTCACTTGCTTACCCTGCCTTGAGCTCTTTTCTGGAGTTCTGATACACATGTCATTTAGACCCCAGAGGGCCAAACTGTCTTCTCTTCCTGAGGCACTTACTGGGTTTGAGCACAGTAGCTAAATTTACACCAACTGAAAGGGTTACACCATGAGGGGCAAAAGTAGATCCGGCATGAACAAAATATTCTCTTTGTACTTTGTTCATCAATGAACTCCTAGGAGTAGGACAGTTCCTAACATGTAATAGGAGCCTAATACTTATTGAATAAATAAATAAAGGTATGGCAAAAGCTGAAGGCTATTAACCAACATCTTTATTGCAGTTATTTATTCATCCAACAAATATTTATTCACCAAGTGTCTGTGTGCTGGGTACTCTGCTGCTGTGAAACCTAATTTCCCCCACAGAACTAGAACCCTCCTCCCCAGCTAATGCACCTCTATACTGTGGTTCATCTTGTAGACAATGGCTATAGCTAGGGTGACCACATTCCCAGTATGCCCAGGACAGTCCTGTTGTTGTTGTTGTTAGGTGCTGTCGAGTCTTAGTTTATACCTATTGTCTCAGTGTTAATTATTAATAGCATCCCCTTTTCTCTCAACAATATGTTGGTTTGGACAATAAATTGTATAGCCCTAGGCATACCAAATCTTTTGTGACAAGCAGACCAGGGGTTCAAAAATTAAATCATTTTACTAGGTACTCTCAGTCTCATTTCGTCACTTATAATATGTTCATAATAACACTAAATGGTTGTATCTAGGGCAGCAGGTAGGGAGAAGACTGGTACATCAGACTGAGACCATACTCTAGCTAGCCTTGAGTGCCAAGTACATGGAAATTTAATTTTTAGTAGCCAACCACTTAACTATTTGCGCCACCAAGGACTCTTTAACATACAACCAAAAAAAACAAACAAACCTGTTGCTAGCTAGTGAATTCTGACTCCTGGTAATCCCATGTGTTAAGAGTTCAACTACTCCATAGGGTTTTCTTGGCTGTATAATCTTTACGGAAGCAGATTGGCAGGCCTTTCTTCCGTGTGTGGTGTGACCTTTAATATACAGCAGGGAGCCATAAAAACTTTGGAGGAAGGGAGTGAACGTATAGTGAAAGCACAGTGAAAGCGTTAGTTCCTTGATGACAGAGAAGAACAAGCTAAGGCAGGAGGGAAGGGTGGCTCCAGGTCATACCAAAAAGATAGCCTAAAGCTATAAATAAAGGTTGTCACAGATGAAAATAGCAACAAATATGCTATTTCAGCATTTGCTTTTATGTGTAGTTTTAAAATTTTAACAGTAAATAGATGCAACTGAACACACTCTAGTTCAATGGTCTGTGGCCTTGGGTCCCTCAATGCAAGGGGAGGCTGCAAAGGAAGGTTCTGGACAACCCAGCTTGCCTCCTGTCTGCCAGTCATGTAAAGGTGGTGTACTGGTTTTTTGTTTTGTTTTTATTTTAAGGCCCACATTTGAAGCATAACATTCATCGTCAGGAGTTTCCTGACGTTAAAGAGATGGACGGGAATTTTAACCCGCTTGCTCCAGATCAGCCTCTATTGCATCACTTGAAATCAAGCTTCCTCAAATAGCGACTTGTAAAATGTAAGTCAGGTAAAATGGCAGCAGCACTAGCTGCCGCCGCGGGAACCTTCGCCTCAGCTTCAAGTGCAGGAGACAGCGCTCTCACCGAAGGTGCCAAGTGCTGAAGTCACAATCGGTAAAATCAACAGGTCCCGCGCGCCGCGACGGGCGGAAGTGGGTAGTCACTTGCAGTAGGGAGGGAGGAGGCCAGAGTCGGTTCTCAAAGCGCCTTCCCTCCAGCCACGCTGACCTCTAAGGGACTCGCTAGGGGAAGTGGCCGGGCCCCGTGGGGAAGGAGGCAGCATCGCTTCCCGGGTTCTAGTCCCCCGGCACCTCGGCAGCCCCTCGCAGATACCCCTCGGCTCCCTCATCCTCCCGCTGTCCTGCTCCTCGCAGCGGTTTTAAGCCTTTCGGTTTCGCCACTAGGAAACTTCCATAGAAGGTGAGAGTCCCAGGTGGAGAGACAAGTCCACACACCCCTGGGAGCCGGTGTCGGCACTCCGGGGTCAGACTCCAGGTCCGGAAGGGCTCTGACACCTCCAGGCTACGGTCCCTGCTACGCGCGCACGCTCTCACCCACCGGCCCAGGGACGCGGGCCCCTGCATCCACAAGATCCCGGGGTGCGCGGTCCCCGCGGAGCCCCCTCCTCACTCCCGCGGGGTCAGAGCCTCCCAGTCGGGGACCCCCCACCGCAGCCCCTGCCCTTTCTCTCCCAGGCTGGGGACCAGGGGGCGGGACCTCTGCCGCCCCGCCGGGCTCGCCCAGCCCTCCCGGACCCCGGCCCGAGCTCCAGGGGCCGCGCCCGAGGTCAGTACCTCGTCCGCTTCCAGCTCCGCACCATTGCCTACGAGCGCCATGTTCCTCCTCCAGTGGCTACCACCCAAAAGCCAGGCAGTGCGCTCAGAGCCGACTCTGCTCCTCGGCTCGGGGTTCAGCCCCGCGCAAGGGAGGGAAGGAGGGGACGGCCCCGCGGCGCGCAGCTACACAGGAGCTTTCCCCGCCCCCGGCACCCGCAGGCAGGCAAGGTATCCATTTCCAGAGCCGGCGCCCGGCCGGCAACCCCTGCAAACCCCGCCCCCCTCAGGCTCCTCCCCGCCCCCTCCCACGCGGCTCTCTCGGGCTCAGCCAATCAGCTTTCCCGAACGCGTCTCCGCCCCGAGCCGGCATCCACTTTGGACCCACGTGGGTGGAGCCACCGAGTGGGCGGAGTCATCCAGTGGGCGGGGTCATCGCGCAGCCTGAGTCTTCGCCCTCCTGGCCCGCCCTCTGGGAAGGTAGTTTAGGGTCCCGGCCGGGGTGGTCTAGGTGAGGGACGAGCGCGCTCCTGGAGATAAGAAGGCGCGGGGCTGACGAGTCCAAGATCAAAGCCGCACTCTTCTTGGGGCCTGTGGAAGCGTCCACCTGGTCCTTGGGCGGGTGCCAGACCCCTTCCCTCGCCAGGTGAACACCGTGTCTTGCAGATGGTGAAGGCTAGAGGGCCGGCTTGGGTCTCAGTCACCTGTCAACGAGAAAACTTGGTCTCGCCAAATGACCGGTCACTGGGTCAGGAGCATAGTCTTCCCATACAGGGATGCTATGTTTGCTTCTGTGTATGTATGAAAACTAAAAGAGAAACCTCAGGACAGATATTTACCCATCTTACAGCCCCTCTCCCAACCCCTCCCAACCACCCCACCCCCGTCCACTCGCCCTCCCCATAGCATCCCGCACTAACCCCTTTTGTAACTCCAAACATAAGTGTATGATTTGTGCTTGAAGTGTAAGCTCCATGAGGGTAGGGACGCTGTCTGTCTTCTTCAAGACTATATCCCCAGCACCTAGAAAATTGCCTTGCACATAGTAGGTACTCAACAAATATTTGTTGACTGAATTTAAAAATTGATTCTTGCCTCTGACACGTGAAATAATTGAACTATCCAACTGGAAATTTGAAAGCTGTATTTTTAGGGTTTTTTGTTTGGTTAGTATTTTTTGAGGGCGGAGGAGGGGTTTGGTCAGCTTTATTTTACAGGGAGCCCTGGTGGCGCAATGGTTAAGAGCTCGGCTGCTAACTAAAAGGTCAGCAGTTCAAATCCACCACCATTCCTTGGAAACCCTATGGGGCAGTTCTACTCTGTCCTATAGGGTCGCTATGAGTCGAAATCGACTCGAAGGCAACGGGTTTGGTTTTCAGAGTTTTATTTTACATTCAATAAAATTCACCAAGTTTAAGTATGTAATGCAACGAACTTTGACAAATGTATACATTGTCCCAATTACGAAACAGAACACCCCAAAAAGTTTTCTGTGCCCCTTTGCTGTCAATTCTCTCCATGTGTGTTAGAGTAGAACTGTACTCCACAGGGTTTTCAATGGCTAGTTTCTTCAGAAGTAGATCGCTAGGACTTTCTTCTGAGGTGCCTTTGGGTGGACTCGAACTGCCAACCTTTCTAGCAGCTGAATGTTGTTAACCATTAGCACTATCCAGGGATTCCAGATGGGACCTGGAGATCAAATTCCAACAATCCTGAAAGTGTCCTTTCTTCCCCACCCTCCCTTTCTGTTTATGCTTCACTTTCTGAGGCTAGATTTCCTGAGTCCAGATTCTACACTGTATTACTCATGGATGATTCCCGTTTTTTTTTAAGTTCACAGGCTCCTAAATTAATATCTTATCTTCCTGAAGTGAAACCATCTCACTGATGGCTTCTTCCTCTCCCATATGTTTTGTTATTCTCTCTTAAGAATTTCAACTCCTCAAATTTTGAAGAGATACAAAAGAACTTGGCTCCAATTAGTGATATGATTATGTTCTACAGGGATAAAATCTGAAGTTGTGTGTGTTTTAAATTCACCAAATTAGATGAACAGTACTCATGTTTATGAGGAAGTCGGTTATAAACACTGAATGAATAAAGGGGTTCTAGCCACTGAAACTTCTAATCAAATTTCCATTGCTCCTGGCAGATATCAACTTTTTTCCCTTGCACATGTGTGATTTTACAAGATCATGAATCAGAAATATAAAACAGGTTTTTTCAAAGAACAATTAGAGTGGATTCATTTTTATAACAAAATTCCCCTGCATATTCTTTTCTTGCCAGTTTGCTGCTACGTTATACTGTAATAGTCCAGTGAGATTGCTCAAATATTCCACTTCCTAGAGGTAACTGGTGTAGGTATCAAGCAAGCAGTGTCTGAATTGTTTCATTCTGAAGATGCTCCTACTGGGAGCTGTTTGTGTTTCAAAATAAACCTAGAATTGCAGACAATCAAATCTTTAGTACTGATCCTGTTATCCTTAGCTGATATAGGATTTATTTTGTTGATATTTGATTTAAATAAAATTGTATCTTTGTCATTTGTGTAATAGGAGAGAGAACAGTCTGCAATTAAAACAGAATTTTTTTTTTTTAGAAACACACATCCATGAAATATAAGTGCACTTTGTAAACCGTACGTTTGTCAATGGCTTTGTCTCAAGTTCATGTCTTGACTCCTCAACGAGAAGTTCCCCTTCTAAAACAGCCCCTCCCTCTCAGTCACACGCTATTCTCTTGCTACGTTCATACCATTTACGACGACCTGAAATTATCTTGTTCGTTTATTTGTTTATGGTCTATCTCCCTCAGCACTGCCCCCTCCCTGCCTGCAGTGTAACATAAACTCCATAAGGGAAGAAATCTGGTGTTTTGTGTCTAGGACTGAAACAAACCCCAGTGCCCAACACCTAATGGGTAATTAATAAATGGCTATTGAGTGAATGAATAAATTAAAGTATAAAAATTCCATAACATATTACACCAACCAACCAACCAAACTTGTAACTGTCAAGTCGATTCTGACTCATAGCGACCCTATGGGGGGTGTAGAACTGCCCCATAGGGTTTCCAAGAAGCAGCTGGTGGATTTGAACTGCTGACCTTTTGGTTAGCAGCTGTAGCTCTTAACCACTGTGCCATATTACACAGTACTGTTCAAATCTTGCAATGTCTATATTTTACCATAATGATTTCTACAAACAAAGAAAACCAGTAATTCATGAGGGAGATTTAAAGTATGCAAATTAGATGACATCTAAAAGGTTAATACTATTTCTTATGCATCTTTAATGCCTACTCATTTTTTCAAAAAAAAAAAAAAACCCAAGCCCATTGCCGTTAAGTTGATTCCGACTCATAATGACCCCATAGGAGAGTACAACTTCCCCATAGGGTTTCCAAGGCTGTAATCTTTATGGAAGCAGACTGCCACATCATTCATCATCCCAGCGAGTGGTTGGAGGCTTCCAACCACCCACCTTTTGGTGAGCAGCCAAGCATTTAACCACTGTGCCACCATGTCCCTCGGTGACCTAAAGGGGGTTAATTCACATTCCTGGGAAAGTCTTAAAACACTAAGGGAAAAAACTCTCATCATTTAGTGGAGGCTGAAATCCTCTCTTAAGAATATCCCTCTTCTAGACTTTTGGAGCTAAGTAAACATTCCTTTTGCCTTGTGTATCAGTTGTTCGTTTACTTTTGTACATCCTTGCATTTATATAGTGCACTGATCTTTTCAATCACTTTCCTACCTATTTATTCTCACTATGTCTCTAGATTAATCCTATTTTTTTAATGAGGAAAGTAAGACCCACAGAAAAGCAAAACAAAGACTAACTTTGGCAAGGTGGCATCTCAGGGCTAAGGGTTGAGGATTTAAAATAAGAGCAATTAGAATAAATAGGAATCTCTGGCAGAGGCTTCTCATTACCACCTGATGTTTATTCTTTCCTTGCTCCATTAAGAAGAGAATTTAATTTTATATAGGTAGCGTCATGCCCAGACTAGATTTCTAAGGATTCCTTTACAATTAGGAATGGCCAGTGTAACTAAAAGGAGCCCTGGTGGCACAGTGGTTAAAGTGATTAACTGCTAACCAAAAGATCTGCAGTTCAAAACCACCAGCGGCTCTGTGGGAGAAATACGTGGCAGTCTGCTTCCATAGAGATTTACAGCCTTGGAAACCCCTATGGGATCACGATGAGTCAGAATTGACTCGGTGGCAGTGGGCAATGTAACTGAATTCTGGCCAATTAAATATATTATATGGGATTTCCAGGAAGGCTGTTTAATGGAATATAGCTCAACTGGGACATGTGCCCTCTTGCCATTTTGCTCTTCTGCTCCTCAACCTTCCTATACCCTGGAACAGATGCAATGGTTGGAGCTCCGGCATCCCCCTTGGACCATGAGGTAATATACTGAGAATGGAAGCCCTAAGCCAGAATAGTGGAACAAAAAGACAGAAGTCTAGGTTCCTGATAACGATGGAGCTGCCACACCAGTTCTTGGCTACCACCTCCAGATTTCTATTACATGAACGATAAATGAATTACTATCTTGTTTAAGCCACCATTATATTGGGTTCTCTGTAATATGCAGCCAAACTTAAACCTAAATGTATAAGTACCCTAATTCAAAGTGTAATTAGGTGTTCTGGGTCCCCATATGCCCTCTCACTCACTCCAGCAAAATCATTTTAGGACTTCTGGTCAGTGTTGGACTGGAGTAGCTGAGTTGGAGTAGTTTGGCAGCCTGTGCATAGCTTCTGTCCTGTGGAGACCTTCCCCAATTTCTCCTTCCCTAGGTTTTGTTGTGCCTTCTTTTCTGGCATGTTTCCCCTCACATTGCTAAGGTCTTTCATTGTCCAACAAGTTCAAATATTCTCCACATTCTAAAGGATACTAACATCTGTTTTATAATAACATTCTCAATGTGTTTCATGCATAGTTTTGGTAAACCAATAATTACCTTTGGCCATCCTTGGCAATTCTGTTTGCACAATCTCTTTTACAAGCCTAGTTCTTACAACACAGGAGTCCCAGGTAGTGCAAATGGTTAATACACTCGACTGCTAACAGAAAAGTTGGAGGTCCATGGCTACCCAAAGGCACCTTGGAAGAAAGGCCTGGCAACGTATTTCTGAAAAATCAGCATTGAAAACCCTATGGAGCACAGAACAGTTCAACTCTGATACATATGGGGTTGTTGTGAATAGGAATCT